TCTGACTCTCTCGTGGGGTTCCCATGCACACGACATTAAATTTGATTTTCTCTTGTCAATCTACCTCCTGTTGACTGATTATTTTGCCAGCCAAAAAGAACCAGAGGAGGTAAAGAAGAATTCTTCCCCTTCCCCACATTATCTTATACGAGCTCCTTCTAATTTTATGAGTGTTGAAAATGTAACTAAAGAAATATCTGAATTCTATATTTATCAACATTCTCAAGGTTACTAATGAGGTTGGTAAAGTTACTTCAGATCACAATATGCCATTTCCCTCATGGCTTAATTACTGGTGTCACATAGTGGCCACTGCAATGCAAAGGGGAAAAATCTGTAAGAGTGAGGCAAGGGAAAACAGCCAAAGATCACCTCATTACTTTAAGAGTTTTACTTATTAGCTCTTTTATCACAGAGTTTCCTAAGGAGCATCATCCAAGCTAAGCTGTAGACAGTACACTGACAAAGACTGAAAATACATCTACCGAAAACACTACCTTGTCGGTGGTGAACCTTCAGAAACAAGAGCTGTGGTCTCTTCGGTTTGTTGGCTCAGAGATGTTACGGTTCCAACACAAAAGCTTGGGTTGCTCAGCCAGTCTAATTCTGCACATGCAAAAGAAAAGAAATCAATGAAATTAGCTCAATACATTTCTAAAGCAGGAAATCCATCTTACCAGCTGACATCCAAATTCACAGCCAATGTCAGTCAGGCGTTTAGAACAATCTACAGAAGCCAAAGGGAATCCATGAAATTTTTATTTCACAGGGCATGGGGCTTTAACACACTCTAAAATATTTAAGACTGAAATCCTCTTGTGATATCAAGCTGTGGCTTAAGCAAAAGCCATGTAATAAGTGTGGCCTAAAAGGCAACAAGGCTTTATGCATTCCATCCACACTTAATGAGCATGAAGGATTCCTAAGCATTAGGTTTTAATGACCTCAAATTTGATTTAGACAATTCCAAAAAGTTAAAAAATCAAATCAGGCCTAAAAGCCCACCATACTTAATATTATTACAGAAGATTAAGATATTTTTCTTTAAAAGAATATTCTAATGCTCTGTCTTAGCACAGTAACTCAACATAAGCCTTTCCTTATAACAAACAGTACTCCTTTTTGAAAATAAAAATACACGGTGTCAACTTTTCTAATTAATGCTAAAATTATATGTTAACAATGATTACATCTGAGTGGTGAGATTAAATGTCTAAAAACTTTTTTTCTGCTTATACATTAATTTCTAACTCTTCTACAATGAACTCTTTCTAAATTACTTATTTTCTAACTTTTAGGAATCTCAGCTATGAAGGAAAGAAAGCAGTAGCGAGGGGGCTCAAGGAGGGGTTTATATTTGGTCCCGTTTTGTTTCAGGATGAGAGGCAGGGCACATTCATACGCCAAGGAGAAAAAACCCATGACATGGTTGGAGTTGTAAGAAAGACAGGTAATTACATTTTTCAACAGCTGTACTGGAATATAATTTATAATACCATAAGGTTCACCCACATGAAGTGTACAATTCAGTGGTTTTTAGAATATTTAGAACTGTGCAACTATCACCATAAAATAATTTTAGAACATTTTCATTATCCCAAAAAGAAGCCCCATACATATTAGCAGTCACTCTCCATTCACCCGCCCCCTCTCCCACCCTGACCCCCAGCCCTAGGCAACCACTAATCTATCTCTTTCTCTATAGATCTGCCTATGTTTGACATTTAATATAAAGAAGATCATACAACTGGAAAATAGTTCCTGCTGCTGAGATCACAATTATTCCCACAATAACTGGATTCTATGACAAACAAAAGAAAAATGGGAAAAGACGGAACAGACACTATGCAAGGAGAGATGATTCAAATACTTCCTGTATATTTTTATATGTCAAATAACGCCAGTATATTTTATGGTCTTTGCTAACTGGCTTCTTTCCCTTGGCATAAGGCTTTCAAGGTTCATCCATGCTGTAACATGTATCACTCCTTTAATCCTTTTTATTGCCCAATAATATTTTATGCATTACACCACCTTTTATCTGTTCATCAGTTAATGGAAACTTGGGTTGTTTCCACTTTGGGGCTACCGTGAATAACGCTGCTATGAATAGTCACGTGCAAGTCTTTATATGAACTCATGTTTTCATTTCTCTTGGAAAGATACCGAGAACTACTGGGTCATACAGATACTCATGTTTAGCAATTTCAGGATCTGCCAGACTTTTCTCCAGAGTGGCTGCACCATCTCACATTTCTGCATCCCCATTAACGACGTAGGAGGACTCCCATTTCCCCGTACCCTTGCCAACTGTGACTGCTTGTCTTTTAGATTATACTCATCCTAGTGGGTGGGATGTGTTTTCTCATCGCGGTTTTGATTTCTGTCTCACTGGTGACTATTGATATAGAGCCTCATGATTTTATTGATCATTCATATTTGAAAAGAAATAGCTATTCAAATCCTTTGCTCATTTCTCGATTGGATTTTTTATTGAGTCATAAGAGTTCTTTCTATAGTCTGTATTCTAGTCCCTAATGATAAATGCATTTTAGTGAGGAAGAGACTTCAGCATGCATGCTATATGATGACAGGGACTTTGTTTTATCCATCGCTATGTCCCCAGCACTGATATCAATGCCTGGTATACATCGGCAGGAGTTTAATAAACATGTGTGGAAAAGAGGGGAGGGAGGAAGGACAATTCCTAAGGAGGCAAAGTACAATAAAAAGCACAGGAAAAGGAGAAAAAGAGAGAGGGACTCTAATTTATTAAGTGCTTGCTGTAGGCCAAGCACCAGATTAGCACCTTTTCTCTTTTACTCCTCAAAACCCTCTGCGGGAGGTATCATGATCTCCACCCTATAGAGGAGGAAACTAAGGCTCAAAGGGATTAAGTAATTGGGAAGGGGAGGCCCAGTGGGCGCTGAGCAACTGTTCACACAGTCTTTCTTCTACTGTCTCCTTTTTCCTTCTGAGGTTGGTTACCTTCCCTTGGGCCTAAGTCCTGGCAAGAGGCAAGTAAAAATACTTCCTGTTGCCTAGATCACAATTATTTCCACAATAATTGTATTCCATAATAAACAAAGGAAAAGTGGGAAAAGATAGAATAAACAATATGCCAGAAGAGATGCTGTTAAATACTTCTAGCATATTTTTACATATTCTAGATAGTGATGACAGCTTGGAGGAAAAGTAAAGAAATACATATGTAAAAAAATCATAAAGCGTGTGATTCTCCAAAGTCCTTTAGAAGGTGCAAGAAAGAGTTTTTAAGGTTGCAATTAAGGCTTTGCCAAATGGGATCACTGTGGAAAAAAAAAAAGTGGTTTATAAAGAACTAAAAACTCTTGGGTTTTGAACTCCAATCATCACTGACTCTCTGTATGACCTTCACCTCAATCTAATGACCTTCTGTCCGGGCAAAAGGTATTTTCAGCTGACAAAAAGCTGCTTGTTTTGGGGGGGGTAGGGGGATGGGGGGGTAGCAGATTAGCAGAGAACATGCATGGAATATTGGAAGTACTCATCATTGGATGTTAGTCCTGGAGGAATTTTGGAGATCTAATCCAGAGATTTCAAAACTTTTCTTTTAATCCAGGAGCACACTGTCCAAAACCTTTCAGAGAAATTCAAAATGCAGGAAGGAGAAAGCAAGACTGCTTCTGCTGGGGGTTCAGAGGAAGAAGGTTCTGAGAAGGTTCTCTGGAGCACAGCCCGGACACCACTCCCTCATTCACGGATCAATAGTTGGAGGCCCGAAGAAGTCGGGTCACGTGGCCAAAGGCACATGTTGGAACCCGGATCTGCGGTTCTCCACCCAGCCCTCCACCATACCATGGCGATGCTCTTCACTTCCTCGACTAAGGAGTCGGTTTTCCTTAATCTACTCGCAATTAGGACATGGACAACTATGCCAATTTTCACACTGTAATCTCATTACACACTCGTCAGTCTTCCCATTACATTCTACACCAAAAGTCAACGACTGAGATTGAGATCCTCATAGGGACCTGGTTCGTAACGATTACAGTGACACTATAGAGTGACAACAGAAAAAAAGACAAACAAAAACATCTTGCCAGGCAAACAAAGACGCCAACCGGTTTACAACTCTTGCATACAAGTTTCCAGCTCGCCTCCCTCCTTCCACTCCTTTCTTCCCAAACTAAAAGCAACATGAGGGCAGAAGCCATGACTACTCACTCCTGTATTCCCAACTCCTGGCACAATGCCTTGGGACAGAGCAACTGGGGCTAAATAAGTACTTCTCAAATAAATAAAATGAATAAGGATATGAACAACATCTTTGCATCTTTATATCCTCAGCGCCTGATTTACTGAACAAAATGAAGGAATTTGAGATGGTCAAAAGCATGCCATCGTCTAGGTATTATAATTCTTTTAGTCTTCATTGTAAATACAGATTTAATCATTAAAGACTAGAGTACTGAATACCTGCTGTGTGCCTAGGCACAGCTGTAGTCTTTGGGGGGGTCCAGTGGTAAACGAGATAGGCCAGGGCCTTGCTCGTATAGTGCTTATACTCGATGATAACATTAACTGTTCACATAAAACATTTCGATTAAGTTTTAGTTACACAGAATCTTCAAGAAAGTTCTTTGAAATTAAAAGATGCTTTAGTAATCCGATTGCAAAGTCCTTTTCTATATTTACCTACATCCTTACATGATATACAAGTGCCCTTGATAGAAATCAAATGTTTATTTAGATAACTATGTCAATACAAGGCAGGATGTAACACATTACAGGGAAGACTGGCAGGAGACCACACATCTAGGGGTTAAGATAGAGAAGCCCACTGGCTGACAAACCATCTGTCCCTGCAGGTTAGTAAATCAATCTCAGGTTGAAACTCACCTGGAAATTAGCACTCTGCTATACACATACACACACCTATGAAAGGAAGAAGGGTGGAAGTATCAGGCAGAAAGGACACTTTAGAACTACTGCCTAACAAAAACCAGGCAGGTATCTGGAAGAACCACAGCATGCGTATTTTACAGAAAATAATATAATGAATACTTTAAGCTGAAATGTTTTTTGTGATAAATTTATTATGTAACTATTTCTCCATCACTAGTGAAAATGCTTTAATTCAATTCTGCTATAGCTAGAGGGAGGGAGGAATTGCAATGAATAGATTTAAGCTTTAAAAACAAATTTTGAATGACAATTGGAAAAAATAGCCAAGTTTCATCACACCCATTCCCCATTCTAGTATAACAAAACAGCACTGATTGCTAGTTTTTTTAAGTGAACTCAAGTAAGTGCCACACCCCCAGGGACATCTCCAGGGTGGATTGTATAAACGAATGAGCATATGTACTAGGAGAGGCATTGTTCTTTTAAAAAGAATAAGCCAAGCTCTTCATTTTGACCAAAACCCTTATTTTCTGACAAAGACTCTTAGAGCACAAACATTCGTACTAAAAGTGCCAGCAAACATGGCTAAGAACTGCATATAAGATGGTGATTATAGAGAACCTAAGCAAAGTCAGCTCTTGCACAGAGTTAACCCACAATTTGAAAAGACTCAGGGGTCCCAAAGGTAATGTATAAACAACCAGAACTCCACCATTCTAATATAGAGTGGTTTATAACACAAGTTCTGGAATCAGAAGAACCTGTGTTCAAATATTGGCTTTAACGTTTATTAGTTGTGCAACTTTGAGCAAAATAATCTCTCATTCAGCACTTTGCTGAAAGCCAGGCACTGTTCTAGGTGCTAGGAATACACAATGAACAAGACAAACCCAACATGATCCTCGGGGAGCTGACATACTGCCAGTCACATGCAATGTGACAAATGCCAAGACAAAGAAAATATACAGGGTATAATGAGAGCACATGATAGGTTCCCTAATCCTAACTAGGTCTATCAGAGAAAGCTGCCAGGGAGAACAGCTCAGTTCAGACCTAAATACGCCCCTTAGAAGCATCTAGGCAGAAGAAATGGCTGATACAAAGGCCTGAAGTGAGAAAGCCACAACTCTCTGGGAAACAGGAAGCTGTTAGGCCTAGACCCCTGGGAGTGAGTGAGAAGCAAGGCAGGTGCTGGGGAGGTGAAATGAACCTGGAGAAGTCAGGTGCTTTAAAAAACGCATTCGAGTTTGGGTTTACCCTAAGTATGAGCTTTGAGCAAGGGTGACAAAATCACATCCAGTGTTCAGAAGATCAGCAGCGAAGAGCAGTGTTTAAGAGCAGGCGTTTTGAAGCTAGGTTTTCTGAGCTCAAATCCTGGCTCTGAGTCATATTAGCCATGTGACCTTATGCAAGGTACTTACTGGCTCTGGGCCTCCATTCCCTCCTCCTTAAAAACACAGATACTAGTATAGACTTCATAGGGTTATGATTCAGTGAGTTCATATTTGTAAAGTATTTAGACCAGTGAATGGCACATAGTGTTTTAAAATAAATACATTTTAAAATTCTGCCTATGGTATGAGTGATTCAGGGAGTGAAGGGAGGACTAAAGATGGGGAGACTAGGAGGTGGTTGTAATAATCCAGGGGATGATGGTGGCAAAATTAGGTGGTGACAGAAGGAGACTACGCACTGTACAATGATCTCTGGAATTTAAGGCAAAATGCAGAATACTATGCATCTAAAAAAAGAAGGGAAATGTAGGTGTCTCATATCAAGGGGAAAAAAATGAAAGGATATCATTCACTAATAAAAATTCGAACCTGTTTGGGAAGGAAACTAACAGGTTGGAGGAACAGAAAAGAAAGCTTTTTTCCTCTGAATATACCTGGTTTATATTTTCAACTTTGAAACCATGTAAACTTTCACATTATGAAAGGGATTAAATAAAAAAATAAAAGCAATTCCTAAAAATTGAAAACAAATGTACCTAATTAGATATCAATTGGTGACAAAACCACACAGAGAATTATTTCAAGAGATTTTATAACACAGTAATTTGACTGCATATCCATTGTGGGATATGTCCTAAAGACAAATGGCGCCATAAAGAAATATTAAACTATTTAGTATCAGTCATATTACTATTGTTATTTTGAACACATACATAATTGTACTAATGGCACCAGGAACTAAAATTTTTGGCGTAAGAGGAAAGAAATACAAATATTAAATCAAATAAATTAAGTAAAAATCTCACAACCTTAAATTTGGACTGGAAATATCAATATGAACTCATGATGTAGTTTTCTCTTCCTGGTGAGAACCACTAAAAATGTCTGGAAGCAATGACAACGCAGTGCAATGAGTACTTCTAACATCCAATTGTGGTTTTAACATACTCATACCATTTTCAACTTTAAAAGAAAAAGGTTCCTTGGAGGATTAGCCAATTCCAGAACACGTAAGCAACAAGCTCTGGGTCTCTTTTAGGCCAGAAAGCAAGGAAGTGATTAGACACAACTGGGCCATGTCAAAAAGACATAGGCATCAACTTTATTAGGCTCCCATTAGCCGAAGATGTGACAATTTGAGCACTAGAAAAATTATATCTACAATGGGTTGAAATATAAATATGTTAAAAATTCATGAGTTCATAATGAAAAGGGGAAAAAAAAAGAAACACCTCATTGGTCACCTCCAAAAGAGACCCTCACTCATTATTCTGAAAACTGACAGAACAAAGCAAGCATTCATCATGTCTTTTCTGCCTAAATTGTATTTCGGGGTATGAGAAAAAGTTCTTTATAGAATAATTGAAGCTAATAAATATAGGAGGAATGTTAAAATTAGAAAATAACCATTTTGTAACCCCACAGAAATAATGGATTTAAGCAATAATCAAATGGCTGCAAACATCATTAGATGAAAGGCTGGCAAGCAGCTTCATAATGGATGAATCAGGCTGTCCATGAATCCACTGATCAATATTAATATCACTATATTATAAAAGAGAAAACTAGAAGGAAGATCTTCCTGATTTGATTCAATAACAAGTGCAGAGAACCCCCAGTGAGGTATTTTCAACTAAAAAAATATATATATATGCCTGAATCTAACTCTCTAGATTACCAGTTTACAGGGATAGAGAAGCTCATTAAATGACACCATGAGGATTTGGTGGGAAATGTGTATAGGACAAATGACCCAGTTTCCACAACAAATAAATCACAAGGGAAAATGGAGGAGACAGAGAAACTTTTATATTAAAAAGAGACCTGAGGGACATATCCACAACATACAACCTTGGATCTTTTTTGGATCCCGACTTGAACAAACCAACTGTAAAAGGCCATTTTTGAGACAAGTTTGGAAACTGGAACATCAACTGGCAATTAGGTGATATTAAAGAATGATAGTTAATTTCACTGAGAGTGACAATGTGTTTAAATTTTCAAACTTAAGTACTTTATAAAAAGCCCTTTACAAACATTATCCTGATGCTGGATACCCAGAGATATCCAACAAACACTAGTTAAGGTAAATGACAAGAGCAACACTTCCCTGTAAACTCTCCATGTCGCCTCCCAAAATAAAAGGATAAACCCTTGGCCTGTTATTCAAGTCACTATACTCCCTCACCACCAGTCCTAATCATATTTCCCAGCGCTGCTCTTTACACCCTATATTTCCAAACTAGACTATTTGCAGTTCTCTGCACAGGTCTCACGCTTCCTTTCTTGCATGCTTTTGCAGGCCCTGGAATGACTTTCCACTAACTCTATTTGTCCAACCCTACCCTCTTGAAGACCCACTCCAGAAGTTAGCTCCTATATAAAGCCTTATTTGAATCTCTCGTCAGAAGTCATTGTTCCTGTAGCTCACCTGTGACATTTATAATATCCTACCTCATACTGCTATTTTTTGCCAAGTACCTACTAGTGGTCTATATACATCCAGCAAATATTTATTGAGCACTTATTATATTTGGGGGCTGTGCTAAGGGCTAAGTATGCTACAATGAATAGACACTTTCCCTGACCACAGAGATTAGACAGTAAAAGGATAACCAAAATTACACTATATGTGAAATTACTCACAATTATGTTACCAAAACATAGGTATAGTAGCCATGAGTGGATATAAAAGAGGTGTCAGACACAACTTGACTCTGCCACATAAGTGCATGATTTAGAATTAATTACTTTAAATTACAATTCACTACAGGCATACTGAGCTTCACTTTACTGCACTTCATGGTGGGTTGAGGATTTTACAAAAGGAAGCCCCTCCACTAGCAAAAAGATGACATCTCACTTTACTGCAGTGGTCTGGAACCAGACCCGCAGTGTCTACAAGGTATGCCTGTATGTGCCTCAATTTTTAACAACGCAGATCTCCTGAGAATGTTTAAGGCTTAAATAAAATATATGATGTCTGGTGCACAGTAGGCCCTCAATAAATAAATGTTAGTTCTCATTCCCAGCAGCTGTGCCTGTCTGGAAAGCAACTGTTTCACTAGGCTCTGATCCCAACCCCCTAGCTCTAGGCCTGCCAAAGGATATGAACCCAATAAGCATTTCAGAAATAAGAGAGAAAAGAATATGCAGCATTTGCAACAGGAGTCTCCTTGAGATATGGAGTATCATTATTCCCGTTTTATAGGTGAAGTAACTGAGGTTCAGAGAAAAAATGGGGTCAGAGACAGTGATATTATGTAACTCCCAGCTCTAAGGTCTCTCCTATGCCTTTCTCCTTCCATACTCTAAAATTCTAGCCCCGAAGACGCCGGGACCAGAAGCCAGGACTAAGACAGGAGCCCTTCCCAGAAGTCTTTGCAGCGCCGCGGAGAACTCTGGGACACAGGTGGATCAACAAATCCAAGGCAAGGGCCGAGGCCTGGGACCGAGAAACTACGAATTAAACCCGCCGAGTGCCTTCTTCCTCCCTTTTGCGTGCTTACCTTTCCGGGAACCGCTATCGGAAGGCTCGCTAACGCCCGCAAAGGCCGGGAACAGGGCCATGATGACAGGCCGCACCGCCGTTCCCCGACACATAAATGGCGTCAGCGTTCGGCCGGTAGTGAGGCCTTCGTGGTCTCGGTGCACTCTGGGAAATGTGGTTTTTCTGGCGCTCAGTCGGGCTTGACCCAGGACCCGGCGGGGCGGGGCGGGGCGAAAAGGAGCGGGGCGGGACAGGAGCACTTCCCAGTAATAGATACCTGCGGGCTTCTGCGAGAAGCCGGAAACGCGAAGGTTGAGAGGTAGAGTTGTTCAGAACAGAGAGTACTAGAAAGTTGAGATTCCAGTTCCACTCCTGAACTCACACCATCACTTACTAAATGGGTCAAATTAATCAAACTCTCTAAGCTTTAGTTTCGCATCTACAAATGTTTAAAAATTAAATGAGCAGGTAGGTAGGTGCTTAGTTAACATTGTGTCTGGTCTGTGGAAAGCACTTAAAGTTATACGTTATGACAGTTGTAACTGCAGGTCGAACTCAAAGCTCTGGGATATCTAAACTTTCGTTTGCCACTTTGAATATTTTAGGAATAACAAAGTGCAAGGTCTTATCAAGTTCAAAGGTCTTTGCTAGTCAGAAAATACATTTACAACCTATCAAGTATTCTTGACTTCTTGATCAAAAAAAATTATGTATGTATATATGTATGTATGTATGTATGTATGTATGTATGTATAAAATCGAGCCTCCTACCAGAAACATAGGGGATAAAGGAACAATTTAAAGAATTCATAGGATCTAGAAGCAATCAGCCAAATCCAGAGTATGGGAAATTATTTTTTTAAAAAGTTTCTTCAACAAATCAATGGCTTTAAGGGAATGGAAGATTGCAATAGATGAAAAGACTTTAGAGACCAAATTTAGTACATGGCCTCATGATTCTGATTGAATACATTGTAAAAAGACCTTTTTGGGACAGATGGAGGAATAAGAAGTGAACAGAGTATTAGATGACATCAAGCAATTCTTAATTCTGTTGGATGAACTAAAGGCACTAAGTTTACTTTATAAATTTCTTATATTTTAGAGATACACGCTGTATATTAGAGATGCATACTCCAGTATTTGAAGGTGAAAATAAATGAAAATATATTTATTTGGATCCTAGGGATTTCAGAGATCTCTAGGAACTAAAAAGATGCAAAATCTAATCAGGGGATGGGTGGACTCTTATGAAAGCTACAGTCCTGTGTGAGTCCAGAATGAGTCCCCTTCAAGCTTGAGGTTCTCTACATAGAAATTAAAAAAAAGGGACATAGTATGACGGTAGAGGAGGTAAATCCCCGCATGTCTGCAGCTGTAAAACTCGGATCCTACCACAATCTCTGCTCTAAGTTACCTCAATTTATTGGGGCAGCATCTGCCTCCCTTTGCAGATCACCTCAGGTAACTGGGATGGTGACCGTCTTCCCCAGTGCTTCATATCTTTCCACTCCAGAAAAATAATTAATATGGAAAGTTTACGAAAAAATATGGGCATATTAGATTTTTTTCTGTGCTCCAAATGTGTAACAATTTGGTTTAAGAGACCCCCCTTTTAAGAATAAAGTGATCAAGTAGCTGATATAGACTCCTGATTAAGTTGAAATCTTATGAAGTTTAGGGAGAGTTTCAGAACATGTAAGAGAATGTAAAGTTTACCATGTTTGTAAGTATAATAAACTTCATAAAAAATAACACTTGAAAAAATTGATATATTGTCAGGTTACTGAAGTACCTGAAAAGGAAATAAAATGTATTAAATTTATAAATTTATATGAAATGTGTAAATACTAGCAGAGGTCACCAAACTTTTTCATAGAGGGCCGGAGGGTCTCTGTCACAACTACTCAATTCTGCCATTGTGTTGGGAAAACAGCCATAGATAATTTATAAATGAATGGGCATGGCTGTATTCTAATAAAACTTTATTTGCCAAAAAAAAAGTGGCAAGCCCCTGGCCATAGTTGGCCAGCCCCAAAAGGTCCTATATTACATGGGGTGGTGTTTAATTAGCTACCTTTATAAATTGAAACAAACAGTACTCAAGACCCCATTAAATTATTGCTAAAATGTACTAGACTTATAAATAAAATTTGTAAACTGAACTCGAACATTTAAGAACATTGTTCTTCAATTAAAACATTTCTTCTTTTATATTCAACAACTAGTTTTATTGCTAAAATTTTATTTTTATTGTTAAACTTTTATAGGCATTATAATGGTGGTGTGGTTATATGTTTTTTAAAGAGTCCATATCTTTTAGAAGTACATACTTAAACACTGGTGTGATGCCCAGGACTTGTTTAAATACAGGAGGGCAGTTAATGGGTGAAGGAGTTATGGAACAGAGTTTGTCCACCCAGTGCTAGCAGAGCCAACACTAAACACCGAGAATTGCAGTAGAAAAAGATTGATGAATGGTGCCGTCCAGGAGAACAGGAAGCTAATGCTCAAAATCCCAAATTCGCTGAGAGTGTGTAGGTTACGGATTATAACCCACAAAGCACTCATGCTGGAAGCTGACTGGTCGGAGGTGAGGTAAGGGTCATGAATCATTTCTTCAGGTCTTGAGAAAAATTCTGAGGTCTTCCGGGTCCCTCTGTCTTGTTTCATGGGAAAGTAGCCAGGGGGCCATTCCACCTTACAGCTCAAGAGCTGAAACATAACTTAAATCAAGATGTTATCTGTAGCCCACTGGACCCTGTGACCATTAACAGGTCTGGGCTACTGCCTTCTGCTGATTGTGGAGTTGCTGATTATCCAGGGCAAAGTGCAAGTCTCTGACAGGTGCATATATAGAGAGAGAGGGATATGAGTTCTAGAGCTAGGGTTTAAAACTAAATTTAATCAAAGCCATAAGGACCCTCGGTTTCAAAGGCATGACTGAAATGAGACAAACTACTGATACACATAAGAACATGAATAAGTCACAAAATCTCTATGCTGGGCAAAAACAAATACACAACAGAGAACTTACTATATGATTCTATTTATATAAAATTCTAGAAAATACAAATTAATATATAGTGACAGACAGCAGATCAGTGGTTTACTGGCTCTGGGGACAGAGAGTTGATGTTCTACAGGAAGCATGGAGAATCTCTTGGGAGTGATATAAATGTGTATCTTGATTTTGGTGGTTTCATGGATGTGTAACCACCTGTTTCTTTTTAAGCTTACAAATACACTGAGATTTTGAATTTGTTGTTTTAATAAATTGAACACTAATCTTTTAAACCAGGGGTCAGCAAACTTTTTCTGAGGTCACATACCAAAGAGTTTAGACTTAGTAGGACATATGGTCTCTATGGCAACTACACTGGAATTTGAATTTCATACAGTTTTCACATGTCACAAAATATTATTCTCTATTTTTTCCAACATTTATAAATGTAAAAAGCATTCTTAACTCATGGGCCACACAAATTGAAGTGGGCCGATTTGACCCAGGGCCATAGTTTGCTGGACCCCTGCAAACTTTTTACTATTAGACAAAACTAAAAGTAGACTTTTGAATAATCTTTTCTGTATAGGAAAAACCACCCCAGAGAGCATGAAAACAACTCATTTTAACTATAATTAATTATTTCACCATACAGATACTTTGGGTATTTCCAGTGCCTGTGGCAGGGATTTCTTAGAATAAATTATGTATGTAACGTGACTAAACGAAGAGAATGCACTACTCAACCATTTTGAAGTATTTTTATTCTTCGTGGCAGAGATTACTCACTCTAAGTTGATACGTTGCTGTTCCAGCATCTATCTCGCTCTCTAGTGTATTCTCACTTAGCCTGCATCCCTCTCACTGATCTTGGTCACCTCTGGTCACTGACAAGGGTTGATCTTTTCTCTGAAGCTGGGAGGAATAGGAGACAGCAGAAGAAGAGAGTGGACATTGTGCAGGACAGATGTGTAAAACGAGGCTTGGTTTCAGTTGCAGAGGAATTGGATGAGGGATGTACAGTCTCGATCTCAGCAAGTTAGGCAGCAAGACTGTCCATGAAGAATGAAAAAGCGGTAGGCTTGAGTAGGGGCTGACAACTATAGAACACTTTAAATGAGGTTATAGAAGATGCAATAGGAATAAAAAGATTGCCAAAAGGCAAACACAAAGCAGGCAGGTGCTCTCTTCATGTTTGTTGGCAGAATAGCACCTACATAATGTCTATTATTACTTTTGGGAAAAGATAGTAGAGAAAAAAGAATAGGTAGTGGATACCTTTTGTTTTACTTAATTAGCAGCGTCTTTTCTGTATTTACAAGGTGGTCATGTTAGTACAACGGTGGCCTGTCTATCCTGACCCATCTGATTTGTCAGGGTAAGTATATGACCCAACTTGGCCAAGTGTTCATGTGCTCAACCCAGCTCTGACCCAAGCCAAGTCAAGCAGAGTACTCTTCCAGGAATTTTTAGAACTAGAAGTGAGAAAGAGAAGCTGGTCTCTGTGCCTCTAGGCTGCAAGATGTAGTAGCCCAGGAGCTAGTGGAGGAGCCGAGGAAACCTGCCTGTGGGTGGAGACAGATGAAGGCAGATGTGAGTTGAACAGGTGAGTCCCAGAGATTTTGGAACTCCAGTTCTAGTTGTCCCTGGAGCTTCATTCCTACACTTGCATTTTGGGAAACCGCCCAATATCCTCATAAAACATTCCCCATGTCAGTTAAACAGATGCAAGTTGACTTTGTCATTTACAACAAACAGAATGACAAAGTGAATGAATGAGTAAATGACACTATTTCCATACTGAAGGTCATAATCCCCAAGTCTGGATGTGTTCCAATTAGTTTCAGTGCTGAATGAGACTTTTAAACTGGTCTACCCAGAACATGTAAAAGCAAATTCCTTTCACCTTAAGAAGGAAAGAATCCTCACTCACTCACTCACTCACTCAGGCAAACTGGAGAAACAGGTCTATCAACATATTCAATCTTAAGGAATTTCTGGTAGTCCTATGAAGTAAGAAAATGTGCCTTTGGAAATCAGAGATACCAACAAAGAAATAAGAACCTAAACCACTTCATTGATGAGATCTGCTTTCCTTTATTATTTTTTTTCCTTTTTTTTAGCGAGGGTCGGGGAGGAGGAATGGGGGCTGGGAATTTCTTTGGTTA